GTCATACACTTGGATGGTTTATGCAAATAAATAATTTAAAATTTACATATTATCAGGGCAAGGTATTGGCAAATTATTGGCAACAATGATGTGTAAAATTAATGTGAACTTTATTATAAAGCTTAAAAGTGTGAATACCAAGATGTAGATAACATCTCTCTATTAATTCAAGTTTAAGTTATCTACTAATAATTGATATTAATTATCCTTAAAAGAAGAGGTGGTAGACAGTATAAATGTATATGTACCAATATTTTTTTGTATATTTAGATGTTTTAAAATTCAAATATTAATTCAAGTTTAGTTTGAAATACTATATGAATAAGTAATATTAATAATTGTTAAAAAGGATGGTACATACTTTAAATTTACCAATTTATTTGTAGTTAAAAATTCAAATAAATTGTAAGGGGAATATATTTGTTGTAATACATGGTCCTGAAAGAAGTGAAATAATGCAAAGTGGAATAAGTGATGATGGTGGTAGGGGTGGGCACATGACGGTGGTGGTAGTAATGTGGGAAAGTGATGATGGGCAAGTAATTAACTGTTTGATTTAGTTAAGAATATAGGACAGTATTATGATGTGATGTGTTTGGTACTTTTTAATATTTTTCTTAATATTTGCAAGTTCATAACTTGATTATGTTATGTGGCAGTTATCTAGTAATATCTTCTCTGGTATTGAGAAAGTTATTATTCGGTATAAGCAAGTCATTCCATGGTTTGTGGCCTGTGACAATCATCACAGTATGGAATATGTGATAACAGTTATTTTACTGAAGGTTCTATTTTGTGTGGTGCTGTTGTGTGGTGCTGCTGTGCTCTATAATGGTCTTTAACCACTGAAGTGCAATGCACGCAGATTTACAGGACCATTTGAGAAACCGTTACTTCAATATTAAAGCAATTACAGATTGAGAAAAAGATACTATATAAAGCATGGATCACAAGACAATGTACCTGTAGAAATATACATTTAAGTTATGAAACTGCAGTTTTGCTATAATATAGTGCACAACATATCAAGACAGCATTTGCAGAGTAGCAAAGTGTATGATGGGATACATTGGTCAATAATGTTCAAAAATCAATTGTAAAATACAGCACACACTATAACTTGTCATATTGGTTCCTTTATAATACCAGTTTGTGTGCTTAAAAGACATAATTATTAGTACACACGTCCAGTAAATAGTTTAGTAAGAAGTGAAATAAGTGTCTTTTTTTTTTAGTTTGCATCATTCTATGCATGTAGACATCTATAGAAAGAGCAACAAGGAAAATGTATCCACTTCATCAGTCTATCAACCATCAGCTTTTATATAATTTGGTATTTGCAGTATAAAATATGTCAGATTTATTAATGTTAGTTTATATTTCATGAAGAATATCAACAAATGCTGATCTCAACCATAAAATCCATTATAATCATTATTATATGGTTAAGCGGAAGTATTAACTTTATCAACGAGATATGTATCATAGCCGTATTGTCCAGACTTTTACACTTTACAATTCTCATCTTGGTTATCAAATATACCTACACTTCTTTATCACCCTTAGTCCCATTCCATAGTTTTTCATGATGGTTAGATGTCACACATCTTTCGCTGCTTATTAAAAATGTTAATATCCTGAGTTGAGAATCCTGTGATTGGTTGTGATACAGGGCATCATTACATTCACATATAAACAAGTTATTCATTGTTAAATACCATGGGTCTGTGTCATTACGACATTAACACATAAGTGTCTTATACAATTTTATATTTAAATAATTAAAATTATTAATCACACACAGTTATCTTTGTTAAATTCTGATCTTCCCTCAATTCACTAGGGTCACCAACCCCCTTCTTGAATTAAATATTATCAATGGAAATATCTTTCTATTCCTGGCGTTACATGATTCTCCAGTTGATTCTTCATTTTATTAATTGAGTTGGTGTTGTTTTCCGTCTGATTTTAATTGAAAACTTGAGATCAAGAAATAATCATACAAGAATAAACAATTCTTTCGCTTGAAGAACAGCGTCTTATCTTCTGTAACACAATACTGAGCTGTTAACACTAATGAAATTCTCTTGACAACATCTCACTGAAGACACCTCTTACAGATGCTATACCTATAAAATAATTATCTGCAGTGTAGTGCCCTCTATCTGTGACATACATTATGGAGCGATTAAGTGGGCTAACTACTCCATGCACATAACTGAACATCATCAGTTTGCATATAGACTTAATAGGGGATGGAGGAATAGCCTACAATGTTACACAACTTCTCTGTTGTTACTTTTTGTAGACTCGCTGTGTTTTTTACATTCATCATGGACATCATTTTGGAAACCTTGCAGTGATGGACTTCATAATCCATGTAAACAAAGCCTAAACGCAAGGCAGATATTGCTTGTACTAATAAGAGTATATATACCGTATATGTATATTTACACACACATATATATGTGTGTGTGTGCATGTATGTGTGTTTGTGGCAACTACTCACAGATAACCCAAGCCCGAATTATGATGATGATGCATAAAATAAATAACTTTAGATAGATTGTAGCATTACCAGAATATAGTAAATTCACATATTATATACAATGTATATATATTCTGAAATAGTATTTATATTATACTATATAACATCATTGGTAGTGTACACACTTACATTATATACATTGTATATACACCCTGAAAGATCATTACTGTATATGGCTTATACACACATATAATGCACAATTTGATATTATGTTATTTAGAGAGGCAATAAGGAATTGAAAAGGACAAAGGAACATTAAAATATTTTATATGTATGTGTGTATGTATGTATGTA